GTTAATGTAAAAAACAATTTAACCGGGATCATTTTTTTCCGAAAAACGTCCAAATTCTTAACATGAGATTTTTGGATACAAAATGAAAGTTTATGGTTCATTTAGTGTATGTATGAAGCCGCAAGTAGTTGCAAAGGTTGAACTCGGCTTCTTGAGGCCTTTTCAGTTAACTCCAAAACTATGCAAGTGAGAAAATTTAAAATCCCACCAGCGTATTGGTCGTGCAATTATGCGTCTAAGTAATCATATGACGACGAGATTCTGCAAATTTAGAACAGTACGATTTTTGGTCCGCGCAGATTTCTAAGGTTTTGTCTTCGTAACCAGGTACGTTCGAAAGCAGACTGCACTTGCAAACGACAGAAATTTTACCGCAGCCACTTTGTTTTTTTAAAGAAACGTCAATATCTTGAAGCAGAAGTTTTTTGCGTGAATTGAGAGCAAATAGTAACTTCGGCGTGACTGCGAACCGGGAGCATTTTCTGTCCTGGTTTGCGCTTTTTTAATGAAATGGCCCTATTGGGCATGGTTCAGGGGGTTTTGCAACTAGCTCAAAATCTATAAACATTAGACAGTCAACGTCACACCATCGCATGGGCCAGGCAGTTCTGCATCTAAGCAGGCATAATGCAACGACAATGGCAGGATTTGAACATCACCGATTTTCAAAAACGTAAAATGGCTTAAGGTCATATCTCTCCAACCAATTGAAACATAAGCCTTATTTTACATGCGAACAATGTACAACGGTGTTACAAAGGTATATATTATTGTTCACCGGGCAAAGATAAAAGTTTTTACCATGACCATTTCTTTTGAAAAAACTAAAATTTTGAAAAAGAGATGTTTGGTATCAAATAAAAGGTCGTAGTTCTTTTCGTGTGTGTTTAAAGTGGCAAATGTTGCTGTGCATGTCAACAGTTTCTAGAGCGAAGGCCAATGTTTGCGTGGCTTCTGAAGGTTTTAAAAAAAACTCTCTAAGACTATGCAAGTGAGAAAAATTCAAACCACGCCATTGAATTGGCCGTGCATTAACGCATCTAATGACGCTTAATACAATGAGATTCCACCAATTTGAAAAAATACCACTTCTCTGCGCAAACCTCCAAGGTTTTGTCCCTGACACCAGCCACGTTCAGGGGAAGATTTCACTTGCAAACGACACACAGTGATGTTGCAAACATTCATGGTTGTTGTTGTAAACATGAAACATAACACAAATTTCATCAGGGCCACTTTGTTGCGGAAAATGTCAAAATTTTACACTAAATGCAATTTTTGACTGTGTTCTAGGTTTGTTGTATGTAGCTTAAAACCTACAGGAGCAGGCGGTTTAAGGAACAACATCGCATAGGCGAGATAAGTCATTCTCTAATGCGGTATAATGAAACGACATTGATAGGACTTAAAAATGGGCGACTTTTTGGACGTAAAATGGTTTAAGCTCATATCTCTCAAACCAATGAACATTGAGGGCTAGCTTTACTTGCGAACGATGTACATCGATGCTACATGTTTTTGGCTACATTCCTATTTACTGGTGATTTGCTGGATATTTTTTTAATTCAAAATTTTGGACGTACAATGTATTGGTAGAAAATGAAAAGCTGTGTTCCATTAGTGTGTGTATGAACCGGCAATTGTGTTTGTGACATTTAACAGCTTCTACGAGTGCCAAGCTGAGCGGAATTTTTCAAGGTTTTTCAAATATTACGTAAACTACAAAAGTGAGAAAATTGTGAATCACATCACTGTTTTGGCCGTACCATTTCGCACCTAATGACATGTAATACAATGCCATTCAGCTAAGTCGGAATTAGATCGCTTTTTGTTCGTGAACTTTTCTGCTGTTACGTCTCCCGAACCAGTTACGTTCCAAATATAACTACCCTTCCAAACGATACAGAACTAGGCTAGAAATTTTGATCCAATTGTTGCATACTTGAGAATGAAAAAACTAACATGGCCACTTGTACGGAAAGCCAAACCTTTTAACCTGACTTTTGGTTGTAAAATGAGAGCCCATGGTTCCTTTAGCGTGTGTACGTGGCCGGACCATTTTCTTTCGATGTTCAACACTTTTTTTAGAGAAAATGCTACTTTTTGGAAATTTATGCGTTTTTGTATTTAACGCAAAAACCGTAAGCATCAGAAAGTTTTAAGTCACACCATCTTATGGGCCATGCAATTCTGCGTCCAATGACGTATATTGCAACAGGATTAGAATTAGCTGAAAATTAAAGATTCTTGGGACGCAAAATTGTCTACTCACATCTGCCGAACCAACTGATATATAAATCTGATTTCACTTGCAAACGATGGACAATTTTAGTCGGATTCGGAACATTTACCCGAACGCTAGCCAGTTCGTAGCTACGTTCAGACGCGTGAACGGACGCAGCGGGAAGCTCACCGGGCTGGATCCCAATCCATTCTAGCTGTGGATTACAGTCCCAGTTAGCGGGGTGCCGTTGGCACACATGCACCGACAGCACTGAGGCGCTCGATATACTGGGCGATCATGACTACCGACCGCGACTGTCCTTTGTGGTCGCCAATGCCGCTTTCTATATCACCGTATTCGTCGTCCGAAGGGCACTGGACAGAGCAGGATGCCCGAGCTGCCAAGAAGCGCTGGCGAGCCGTCGGGAGTCGGACGACCCCACATCCCACATTGTGACGCCGTCTGTGGATGAAAAATATTGATTGGCCGATAACGATAAATCGCTCCGCTGGAGTGGTCAAGAGGTCGTCTTGAATGCTCAGCAGGAGCTCCGCCGCTACATTGTGCAGCTGGACGCGGCTTACCATGCAGTGCCCTGGCGGCTGCTGGGGAGTGCAGTGGCGTGTCGCGTCGGTACCGGTGATGTGTGGGATTGCGGCCGTCACCTCCTGGAAACTCAGCACGGTTTGGAAAGCCACCACACCGAGCTGATCAGGATACTGGTGGCCCCCTATAATGGGTGTGTCTTCATCACCAGGCAAAGCTGTGCAACGCACGCCTGTAGAGGAGCAAGATCCGGCAAAAAAATAATAATTAAAGCATTGCTGTTCATACGCCATTAGGTCACCTGTGGACAGCGATATCCTGTATTCATTTGTCCGGTGGCGTATTTAGTAGTTACCGTTTCTTACAATTATCACACCTCCCCGATCGTTGGGTTCGTCCAGCCTGCTCCCTGTTCTCTGTTTAAGCTTTCGTTGTGTGATAATTGTTCTGTGACGTTTCATCGATGTTTTGTACCAGCTAGCGTTAAAATTGTTCTAATTAAACTTTCATTGTGAGTTCGCAGAAAAGTGTGCGCGAATCCTTGATATTTTTCTTAGAGTTTGCGGCGCCTTGAGACAATCCGGCCGTTGGCTCGCGCGTACCTGGGAGTTAGTCAGGCGTCGTGATAGCTCGTGAAGGCCACTTTTGGGGGGACGATGAACCGCTGCAGGTACATTATTAGATGATTGATGAATATGTTGATTCAATGAGTTTTGCGGCATTATAAAGTATGTGAAAAATGAATCCCATGCATTGTCTGGCGCTTGATGTGTGTTAAAATACAAGACATGATGATACTGTCAGATAGTTGGAAGTAGACCTGTGTTATCGGGTTATTCTGTTATGTTATGACTGAAATTATCTCACCGCGCATGATTCTAGCTGGTCTTGAGTGCTTGAAAACATTCATTCCATTTCTTAAGAGCTGGCTTACCAATCCCTGATCTAGATGAGCGCCTGCTCGTACGCCCAATTATGTTTGAGCGTGGCAAGCTCTTGTGCTTCTCATCTTTCTGCGAATACCCTGGAACTGACGTAGGTAGTGGAGGACAATACATCACTCCCCACACGATGCAGATTCGGCACTGACTCGTTCGTTGGCGCCACACACGCGGCTGCCGACCCGTGGACACCGGCAGCATCGCCGCAGCACCCATCATGGGATCCGGCGCAACGGCGGGTGAACCTTACGCCACCTGTCACACGAACGCCAGGGAGAACGCCAGTCCCGCCGATATTTGACGGGAGCGCGGCGGAACCGGCCGAGCCGGCGGCGGCGCCGCGGCGACCGGCACCAGCGACGGTCCCACGCTCCCCACTCTCCGAATTTCTCGATGCAGGTAACTCAATAAACAGTGAAATACAAGGAATAGGTATGTCAGGACCGTTGTCATGCTACCGTATCTGGTAAAGGCCATTACAGTCGGCTCCAGCTTTAATCTTTGCTTCCGCCGTCTCTCACGGGGACCTCGCCTCAAGCGTTACAATGGTCCTGCCAGAGCGAGTCTGTCTATCGGCAATATAAATAAAGTGACCGGCTTTACGTTCTATGTCCTGCCCAGTCCTGTATGGCTATGGATACAGTGTACAGCAAACCCTACTGGTGCTTTGATCAGCCAATGATGTGGCAGTCTTCAGTCCGTATGAAGCCACACACTTTGTTGATTGGACCCATCACTTGTTAATAAAGTAGCTGTGCGAGATTCATCGTCAAAACTCTGTTTGCAACACCCACCAACGCTGATTGTGCGGTGTATCCTTCAACGGTACCACGCACTAATTCAAATACAACCGCCACTCAAATATTTGTTTTCGCAGCACTTTTGTGGCGTTCCTAGCGCATTGTTGCTACCGTATATATACACGACTCGTATATCTGGACCGGAAGCCGAGACTACCAAGACTAGTATGCGGTTAGCTTGCAATATAACGCAAAGTTGGGTCTGCCTGTTACTGGATCCAGGCCCCGCTTTCTTCAGCGGCGTCCATGTCGCGCGCCGCATGCGTGGCGACACTGGTTCTTGGCGGTCAAAAGCAACAGAAGACGACAATTGCAGGGCACTCAGGCGTCCGGGTCGGCTTCCGTGGGATAGCTTACTCAAAAGTGACAGTAAACACCAGAGCTAATATGCGCGCACCATGCCGCACACTGCGCCCGCGGGCCCTCTTATCCATGTGATAAGGCTGCGCTCGTCACCGACGTATTGCATCGTTGCAGATTCACAATGAATCTGAATGATTGTTCTTGCTTGAGCATCAGTCTAAGAGGCAAATTTACATAACTGCATTAACCATTACAATGTCCATTTGCTCTCTAGTAGGCACTTATGGTTTAGAACTTGCGGCCAACCCCTGAAGTTATCATTTCCAACAGTGACAGAATTACTAAGTGCAGAAAATGACATGAATTCATGCATTGTACATTGCAGACATGTCACTAAATGACACACTTAAGTATGAAAAAAACAGTTACAACTGGCTTTTGAGCTGCAACTTCTGGGATGCATACAGCACACAAAGCCCAGTTATACATGTGCATGATGTACTTCATACCCACATGCAAACAGACAGTATACATCGTCAAAGATAATCTCCACAATGGGCCGCCCAAATAATGTACAGCTTTCACGTTGCCTTCCCCCTCCCCACGCAGCTAAAGCCTCATAAGATCAATATGCACCTTAACAAAGCAAAGTAACATACTACAGCTCTTAAGCAGCAAAATACATGAATAAGCTTGCGGTTTCAAGAGGCATAAACATAGATACTGGGTTTTTCGACTGGTCAGTCACCATCCACTGCAGTTTCGTATTTCACAGCGATAGTTAAATTCAGCTCTAAACTCGGCGGCCCAACAGCGATCCACGGCCCTCTTTCCCTTCTGCATACAAACGCAACACTATAACAGGGCACCACTCCCAGTATCACTTTCCCAGAACCGTTCCACCGCGCGAAATCACTTTCACTTCGCTCCGAAGTGGGAGCAATGGCATCGGCCAGTTTGCAGCGACGTAACAGGCACTGTAGGCCTCAGTTCTCCCACAGATGGCGATCCCTCCCTCCAGGACCCCTCCCTATTTATCCTTGAACACTGCCGTGGTGACGCTGCCAGCACACGTCACCAGGCACACGTCGTTCTCCGTCTCCATGGCGACCAACGGCGGCCGGGCCGCGTCTGGCTCGACGCGGCGAGCGGCGGCGGCCAGCGCCGCCAGCTGGCCACTGGCCGGCTCCCTGAGGCTGCCGTCGGCGGCCAGACAGAGTCCGCTGGCGTCCACGGCCAGCAGGCCGGCCACGCCGGCCGCGCGACCTTCCTCCAGCGCCGCCCTCACTGCCGCGTCCATGGTGACTGGCGGATGTACTGGTGCAGAGATGCTGAAAGAGATGACCCGCTGGTATGGACTCGCTGATGCCAAAGCAGCAGTGCACTGATACAGGCAGGTGCTGAAGCCAGTGGCATGTTGGTCAGATAGTGAACCTGTACAGGAAGTCAGCTCCACAGGTTGATACTGAAACAGATCGTACGCTAGCAAAGACTATGGCTGGAATGCGTTACACTCTGGCACATCTTGATGCTTCCATGGATGGATATGATTCTCAAATTAGAAGTAATGGTAGAGGTAATGGGGCTTTTGGGTGTGTCAACTGCACAGCCATGTAGCGCCCATTATTCTCACTTTGTGGCACACCTGCAGTCTGAAATCAGCCAGCCAGCCGGCTCTCTAACGACACGTCTGTTTTGGAACATGAATCATCCATGGGTTCCATGGGTTTTGGAATGAACCGTGGGCTTCCTTCCCTTTCTCAGCTCGCCAGGGTCATGCATGGAGACCAGTAGCACGGTCTAGATGCTGGATGACTGCTTCAGTATTTCCCACTACACCAGTTTGAAAGGATGCAGACATCAATGACAACCGCTGTCTGTGCTGTAAAATAACCTCCATGCTAGTAAAGCACGGGGCAAACAAGGTTGCATTCACATAAAATAACAACATCACTTCAATGTACTGAGACTTACAAAAGCATGTATTCAGACCTTGATTTAAGCCTACACAAGAACATGCTGGGTCAATAGGCATTGGTAACACCCTGGAGGCATCATATTTGGTCATGTTTATTCAAGTTACCTTACTGAGCAGCAGTTAATATTCAAGGGCGCCAGAATTGCCATGCAAGTGCAGATTCAACCTGAACGCTTCCATGGCCAGCATCCCCAGAAAATTATTTCTAGCCAGATTTGCCTACCCAGGAGATTTGATCTATCCCTTGAACAGGCCTTACAAGCCCCTTGTAATCTCTTGTATTGTACTAATCTCACGATTTTATATGGCGTCAAATAGCAGGCAGTATTGCATGAATTCAAATGCCAAGATAATGGAAATATGATTAAATATGCCCAGGAGTTTTTAAACTTGATTTTAGATATTTGTCAGTTGCATGCACACATTTGCCTTACTTTACCTCATGGTGATCGGGAAATACAATATGCCACTTGGCCTGTAGGTCCCGGTCTCGTCAGGCTCCCGGTCCGGTAACCAAACAGTCTCAAATTATGGGCAGGTCCAGCGTGGGGTGTTATACATGACGTCAGCCAACCAAGTGCATATCAAGCCTAGACTTGACAACTGTTCAACTGAGGTTGATGACACCACCAGGTGTGGAAGAACGTTCCAATCGTTGACGGACGGACGAGAGTCCCAGCTTGAGGCTTTCTCAGCTTTCATTGGTGTCTTGTCACCTCCGAATTGTCTTGACAGGAACTCCTCTTCCGACGGCGACAACAGCGACATACCTCCATGACACAGCTGTTACACTGTTACCATGTCTTCCCTGCGACGACGGTAGTACAGCGAGGGCACCTGGAGGAGTCTGAGCCTCTCGGTGTGTGACTGGTGCCTCACTTCAGTCAGGTTCAGTTTGCCGAAAGAGCCCCAGATGACGTTGCCATACTCTAGTACGGACGTGCCAAGATCTTAAAGGGCAATGGTAACGTGTGAGCATCGATGTTGGCAAAAGACCGCCTCACGACCGCCAGCATCTGGTTGGCCTTGGAGATCGCTTCCACCGTCTGCACATGGAGCTTGGGCCTATGATCCACGAAGATCCCGAGGTCCTTCTCGGTGGACTCGACCGCGATTTCGGCGCCTTCCAAGAAGCTGATCAACCTCGGGTCGCAGTTCCCATATGCATTACTTTGCACTTTGCTGCACTTAAGGGGAGCAGCCACTCCTTTGGCCACTAGGCCAGGGTGTCGAGGTCAACATGTAGAGATGATACCGACAGGGGTCTCGGGACACGACAGTAGACCTTGGTGTCATCGGCGAACATCCTGACCACGCTTCGCAATTGTTCTGGCAGATCGTTCACAAATATTATGAATAGCGTTGGTCTAACCACTGACCCTTGCGGGATTCCGCTGACGACGTCGATCCAGTCCGACTTCCGAGCCCTGGACCCGCACGCTCTGCATCCGGTGCGTGAGAAAAGCTCTGATCCAGAGTAGCAAGTTACCTCTCACACCGTAAGCATGGAGTTGGGAGAGAAGGTGGTTATGACGCACAGAATCAAAGGCTTTGCTTAAGTCCAGATACGCCACGTCCACCGGCTCTCCATCCCATACCGCAGCGCTCCAATCTTCCGTGACTTCTAATATCTGGGTGATACAGGACCGCTTAGGGCGAAACCCATGCTGGGTCGCATGCATAAGTCCAGACTCCGAGAAGTGATGAATTAGGGCATCACGGAGAAAAGATTCGAGTATCTTGGAGGGAACGGCAGTAAGACTGACTGAGTGGTATCTCACTGGGGACCGTCGGTTACCTTTCTTAAAGATCGGGACTACCTCGCCAAGCTTCTACTCCTGGGGGTTTTCCGGCTGCCAAAGATGTTCGGAAAGCGTGCTAAGGGGCACTGCCAGGACGTCTGCGGACTCACGAAGAAGCCTTGGGTGGATATCGTCTCGCCCAGAGGCGCTCAAGGTTTTTAAGGCAGCCAATCTGTTTGCCACTGCCTGGGTGGAGATGTCCACGTCATCCCGAGACGGTCCAGTAAAATTTGCAAGGCATCACAGGCATGGCGCTATCCATGAAAACACTGGCGAAGAATTTACAGAGGACATTGGTCTTTCCTTCGTTGCTGCTGGTCAACACCTCATCATCGTCAAGAAGGTTTTCTACCCCGTATCTTGTGCATAGTCAAGAGTTGGCATACCTCCAAAAGGCCTTAGGGTTTCCTTTGAGGTCTGTTACTTATTTCATCTTATACTATTCCCGAAGGTTTCTGGTCAACTTCCGAAGGTCATTGCGACACCGCACAAATATGGCAAGGTCCAGAACATCCCGAGTCCGCGTGCACATAGGTCACAGTCTTTCCTTAGTCTTCTTAAGCTGCATGGCCCTTGGGTTCATGTACAAGTTCTTCTTAAGTTTAGTCCTTCCCTTGATGGAGCAAATCTCAGTAGCCCTAGTGATTCTCTCCTTGAAGAACTTGTAAGCATCTTTGAGGCTGCGGTTCTCCACTGGGGACCAGTTCATTAACTTGGGGGTGTCTGCCAGATGCTTGTAATTTGTGTGTCAGCTAGCCTGGACAGGGAGTTTGCAGCCCAGAGAGACAGACCGATGCACATGATGACCACATGGTCGCTGTAACCTAGCCCAGGCAGGTATTTGATTTGGCTCACCATCTCCTCCTCGTTTGTGAAAATAAGGTCCGGAATGCTTGGGGCTTTACCCACCCAGTAACATGTCTGCTGTTGGACATGCTGAAACAAAAAACAGCCCTGGATGGTGTCCATCAGTGAGTTGGGTGATATTTCACATGACTTGAATTTCTAAACCCAAAGAGTCTGTCCAAATCCAACACTAACCATGTCAGTGGCTAACTTTTTTAGCTGATGTGCTGATCAAACAGTGGTGGCTGAAGGCAGTCCAAGCCCAAGACTATTACAACTATAAATATGTTTGTAGGTACCCAAGGCAAGAACAGCATTGCATGGTCAGAGGGAGATCATACCTATGGAATATGTGAATTGCAGTTATTGTATGTGACTAGTGAGTCTACATCTGAAGAATGACAGAGCATTATAAGAAGACCAAGAGCATGAGATAGATGAACTTTATTCTTAGTCATTATTACTGATTATCATTATTTTCAAGTCACTGCAGTATTCTAACAGCTTTACCAATAACTTATTTTCATCATGCTCGAGGAACTGCACTGAAGTATAACCATAGACCAGCAAACTTGCCGGCTTAAAACCCCAAAAATGCAATTTTAAAGCTGACTTCCAACAAGATACATACACAAGTTCACAAATATACAAAAGACTACACTGAGATTATTTCAGATCATGTGGGCCAGACTAGAAAAGAACTTCACAGGACATGTCAACCACAGCAGCAGCACTGCCACAAAACTGCCTCATGCCTGCAGTAAATTTGAGCACCATGAATGTACCAGAGCACTCAAGGTTTCCAAAAACTGCTATTGCAAAGTGAGTTTTCAACAGAAATGCTAAAAATATAGAAATGCCAGCATTTTTCCATTCAAATGTAATTTAAAAACTCAGCACAGCTAGATCTGGCCTGAACTCTGTGGACAAGCATAAATGGTTCAGGATACAGATGTTGCACAGGGATTGGGAATGGTGCATGCTTTTCAGGCTACCATGCGACCAGAGAAAAAGCAGTAAACTTAAAAAAAATGTGGATTACCTTATTGATGACTGGCATAGCAGTAAAACCATGGTAACAATTTCAGCCATGCACTCTGTAAGTCTAAGAACCCAGAGCTTCAACAGATTTATGTAGGCTTGACAAGGCAAAGACAAACATAGCTCCTTTGACATGGACATAAATATGAGTCAAACCAACTTCCATGATGAAATGAAATTGCCAGGCAGCATGCATTCAAACAAAGCACCTCAAGGCATGTGCAAGCAAGCAAAGTACCCTGTACACCAACAACCTCACATAACATAAAGACAAAGATATCTGGCCCGTGAAGAGCCACAAGAACCCATTGAGGTTGGTCTACCTGAAGTTACATGCACATCCTCAAAACTAATTACTTGGCTTACATCAATTTAGTTATAAATAAGATCTTTAGACCAATAAAACATCTAGATAGAACTTGCCCAAACAGTTTTTGAATGTTGCTATAGAGGGACTTCCTACAACTTTGTTTGTCAGCCCATTCCAATGGTTCACTACCCTTTGACTAAATGGCATCTGCCTCTTCACAGCTCTTCTCCTACCTTTTAAGAAATGAAAGTGGTTTCCTCTATGTCTCGCCCTAATTTCCAGCGCTCTATGTAGATCTACCTTGTCAGTCCCCTTCATAATCTTGTATACCCCTGCCAGATCTTCTCATCTGTGATATTTCACCAAGTACAAATCCAAGACCCAAAACATATCCTTGTGTAAGTTACCAATCACCAATTACCAATAAGTTGCCAACCCCATTGAGCATCCTAAATGCTTGTTGCTGTACTCTTTCCAGTCATCTATATATTTTTGGAAGCATGAGACCAAGCAACATTCCTACTCTTGTAATGGATGTTCCTGCTTAGCCTTAACCCTTGCAGCCCCACATTGTTTTTCACCATCAAAAACCCTATAAATTATAACCCTTCAGTCCTTTTCTTCTCTGATCTGGTCAAACTCCCATCCAATCAATAGCTAGTGCCCTCACCGCTCTAACTATCCAAATGCATCACCTGACATTTATCATAGTTGAATGACATCTGCCACAGAGAACCCCAGTTCACTAGCTAATTCAAGTCAAGTTGAACTTGGTTCGGCTATCAGTATTTTACGACAGCCCTTCTTATAAAAGATCGTCGGCTAAATTCAGCACTTGACTAATCCTACATCAACATAATTCACTGAAATAAGAGCGTTTTCTCACAAAAATAATTACGTTCCTCCGCCGCCGACAACACCTTTATTCCCAATCCCTGACCCAGTAATCAGGGATAAGATAACGCTGAAATGCAATGTTGATGACTTACACGTAGAATTTAAAACTGTCGTAGGTGCGGTGCAAACGTCTGTTATTTAAATATCTCTCTATGATGTCATAAATGTTTGGGCCAATTGCTTGTCTAGTACGAATTGCCTCTTGTCAATATCAGAAAAAGCTCAATAGTTTTTGACATGGTGTTGATAAGTCATGTTTAATGATACCGGAGACATTAAATTGTAGTCGATTTCTCGAGCATAAATCAAGATGTCGCCCAAAATGATTATTTTGTGTGGCAAATAATATCGTTTCTACATTTGACAACACTGCGTAAACAGCGTCCTTTTTCCGGTTGCTTGTGGTGAGGGACCGGACGGTAAGAAAACTGCTGAATTGATTGCATGTGCCATTGGTGCTACGTCGCTGGCTGGATGTGGATATAAAAAGCGATAAAACTTCAGAATCCCGTGAGGCGTTGCGTACTGTTGACGTGTTCATGTGTTTGAATGGCTGTTAACGAGCATTTGTAGAGTGCGTAGTACTTTACTTTGAGAAGAAATCATGTTTTTGCGGTCATTTCCTCACACAATTCATTTCTGCAGTATTCAGCTTCATTGAGAGGAAAGGTTGTGTGTGATGGTGCAGATTTCGCTAAGATTCGCAAGCAGTATCTCGTTTAGTTGCGTGAGAGGCGCCCGATGCTGTCGAGATTTCAGGAACAGGTTGCCTTCATCTCACATTGCTCACAGAGAACAATTTTTACATTTTCCGCAGTGGATATTTGTAGAGAACAAAATTTATTGTTGCTAAAACCGCCTAGAAGGGGATCAGGCAGGGAACCCTGTAATGTTAAGCATTTGCCTTGATTCAACTTATGTGCTGATGGGCTCAGAAAAGTGATGGGCTATTGGTCATCAGTATGCCTGTCTTCACTATTCAGAGCATAGTATTTGTTGTACATCATTGTGGGCTGTATGATAGGTGAGCCACTTTTTGTTTTGTTCCCCTGGCCTTGATGCGGGCTAGCAGGCTGTTAGCGATGCAGGCTTCCTATGTTAACAGGCAGGGGTCAGTCATTCAACTTGTGTAATGCTCTTATAAGGTGATCCATGCAGCAATAAGTAATGGTAAGGTTGAGCTTTATTACTACTATACAAGCTTTTTTGTGTTATTAAGAAAAGTCTAGTAGTCGAAATTTAGGTGTATACATGTGACAATGCATGTGGTACACACATTTTAGCGGGGGCATGGAAGTGCGCTGTTTGTAGGTGGCTGGTGTGAAATGTTGTCAGCTAGGTATCAGAGTTCAGGTTGGAACCAGGGGTGCAGTTTTGTTGTTAGTCCCAGGTTTTAACCCAATGGTACCCCCTGTCCTGAACTTTGAGAAGGATGTGTGCTGAATTTGAGGACAACCCATTTTATATGAACTTGGGGGGGGGGGGGGGTGGTCGGAGCACTTCTCTGCACTTGGTCCCCACTCACCTGCCGTATGACTACAATCCTATCAGAATAACTCCAAACCTTTTGGTTACACAGATGCTAGGGTGTTTAACCCTTGCCATATAGCACTTATGTGAGGCATGATTCTACCATCTAGCATTTTGGGGCAATTTGATGTAATTCTTAGTGCAGTCTTCAACATTGTCTGTTGTCACCTGACCTGTAGCCAGGCTGCTATCGCTGGCCACCATTTCCTCGGTCTCATTTACATGCAAATAATTGTCCGTAAGCAAAATATTTTGTGTGCACATACATGTGATTACTGTCAAAGTAGTGCAGTGAACAAGCAGTTAATGCTGTCAGGTTTCACATGGGAGGTCTGGGGGCCAAATCATGGCTGCTATGGACTGATAGCCAGTGTGGCTCTGCAGTTGCAGGTGCTTTGTTAGATGCAATGCAATGACGTCACATTTTTTAAGAAAACAGAGAGGTAGTGAACAAATTTGATGCAGGATTTTAATCATTCAAAATTATTGTCCATTATGATTGTGTTCATCACAAAGTTTGAGGACTATGTTTGTCACACCCATATCCAGACCATATTTTCAGAGGGTTGCATGGTGATACTGGAGGTGCCCTGTGTATCTCAAGGCTGCATCACTGTTGGCAGCCTGTATCAATTAAAACCAATGTCACATCAGATGATATGGCAAACCTTCCTGCCATTTGGCCTCATCACACATGCCTGCCTATATGTGTTCACCTGAGGGGTGAACACATGTAGGCAGTGTTCACATGTGTTCACCTGATGCCGAGCTCTGTTGTGACAGTTACAGTCATGGCCGATTGGGACGAGGAGACGGCGGCCGACACGGCCGTCGCCGCCGGAGATGAGGAGATGGCGCCGCCCACGGCCGACATGCCCGAGATCCACCTGTTCGGCAAGTGGTCGTGCGAGGACGTGCAGGTGCCCGACATCTCGCTCCAGGTGGGTCGCACGTCCGTAGGGAACAACTGTGGCATTGCTGTGATATGTACTGCAAACAATATGGAGTAGTGATGCCCGGGGTCGGGCTGGCGGTCACGTGTCCACTCAGTCGAGGATCGCGGAAGCGTTGTGACTGGAAGCGACAAGCGCGTGGGCCATAGGTACGACATATGTGTTGGTCTGTCAACGGCGCGCCCCCGCCAGCCTGTCCGTGACGCGTGATGTAACGGTGAGCCCGGCCGCGCCACAGGACTACATCGCGGTGAAAGAGCGTCACGCCCGCTACATGCCCCACTCGGCCGGCCGGTACGCGGCCAAGCGGTTCCGCAAGTCGCAGTGCCCGATCGTGGAGCGGCTCACGGACTCGCTGATGATGCACGGCCGCAACAACGGCAAGAAGCTGATGGCCGTGCGCATCGTGAAGCACGCTTTCGAGATCATCCACCTGACCACGGGCGAGGTACGAGCGCCGGGCACAGGCGGTGTCAGGCAGGGAGTGTACGGGGACGGTGAACGAAGGAGCTCAGGAGATGCGCCTCCGTGAACGGAGACGGACGGGGAACGTCGTCAGTGTGGCGTCACTTGGGCACGTGGTTGGAAAGGGTGTCGATATGTTTGCATGTCACTGTAATCGCGGCTCGGTGCCGACTGCCTTTTACTCCTCCCGTCGCTCCAAATTGGCCAGTCGGCAGCCAGCTAGATGGTGGTCACCCGGCATTTGGACGCCTCTGATGGGGTGAATGGGGTGTGGTGGTTGGAATGCCAGTGCTTGGGGCCCATAGGGCAGTAGATTAATAGTCAGTGAATCACTTTGGTGGCGAAAGGGGTCTTGGAGCCATAAGTGTGGTGGCATGGACTGCTATTTACATCTGTGGCACCCAGCTGGGCAAATTAGGGGTGCTGACAGGAATGGCTGAATGTGGACTGTATGGACTTGTTATGGAATGGTAACTTGGTTATCATTTCTGTATGGTTATATGGGCATCATGCATTTATGTCATGATTGGTACTTAATTTATCTTTTTTATTTGTTTGCAACATTTTGTGTATAAAATGCTGCCAATTTGTTCCAGTCTGTGTGGACATCCATATCACGTGTTATTTATTTGGGTCACTCCAGTTTATGTTCATTTCAACTCAGCAGTGTAGATATCCTTGAGGTAAAACTTGGCAGTGAAAATGGGTTGAGTGATGATAAGAAAATGTTGTCTCATCATGGTAGCATTTGAAAATCACCCAGTTGGATACCACAGATGTTTGTATAAATTTTGGTCTGTCAGACTTAAAGCTCCCGAACCATTCCAATCCCACAGCATTTTGTTCGCCGTTGACCTGCTGCCCTCTGACCCCAAATGCTGACCTGACTTGCCACCTGATTAAGGCATGCCGAGCTTGAGGCGCCCGAATGCTGTACGCCTGCTTGACGATTCGCCAATCACGGGTGATGGGAGAAGAAACAGGCGGTGAATGCCAAGCTGGGCTTGCATGTCAAATATTGACATCCTTGTTCACCCAGTGGGCTATTGCTGCAACTCTGCATAGCCATTGTCGGCGATTTATGTCCGGATAAGTTATTAGCGATGATCTTCGCAAGTCGCTGCACAACGCCGTCATGATAATGCCCTATTGTCTGATCGCGAGCCAGCGCGTCCGGCCTCTGTTTACGTGTCCGCTGTGGGCCGGTCCTTGGCCGTGCCGGGATGAACGGAACGCCGGGCGTGCCTGCCAGACCTGACATGACCCCGCCCTGGTCCGGCAGAACCCGCTGCAGGTGCTGGTGACTGCCATTGTCAAGTCGGGCCCGCGCGAGGACTCGACCCGCATCGGTCGGGCCGGCGCCGTGCGTCGTCAGGCCGTGGACGTGTCGCCGCTGCGTCGCGTCAACCAGGCCATCTGGCTGCTGTGCACGGGCGCGCGCGAGGCTGCCTTCCGCAACATCAAGTCGATTGCCGAGTGCTTAGCCGACGAGCTCATCAACGCCGCCAAGGGCTCCTCCAACAGCTACGCCATCAAGAAGAAGGATGAGCTGGAACGTGTGGCCAAGTCGAACCGTTAGCTATACGCGCTGTGTCGCCGCGGTGCGGAAATACATCGGACTGCGGAGAGAGGCTGTCGCGTTTGTTCGGGACGGGAAGAGCCGAGGGCTGGAGCCGAGGGCCGGCTGTGCAGTGCTGGGTTGGGGGCGGGGGCCGGCTGTGCAGAGCCGGACTGGGGCTGAGAGCCGGCTGTGCAGAACCGAGCTGGGGCCGAAGGCCGGCCGCGCAGAGGCGTACTGGGGCCGAGGGCCGGCTGCGCGGAGCCGGGCTGGGGTCGGCCGTGCAGGGGCGGGCTGGGGCTGGGGTCGGTCGTGCAGGGGCGGGCTGGGGCTGGGGTCGGCCGTGCAGAGGCGGGTTGGGGCTTGGGTCGGCCGTGCAGGGGCGGGCTGGGGCTGGGGTCGTCCGTGCAGGGGCGGGCTGGGGCTGGGGTCGGCCGTGCAGGGGCGGGCTGGGGTCGGCCGTGCAAGGGCGGGCTGGGGCTGGGGTCGGCCGCGCAGGGGCGGGCTGGGGCTGGGGTCGGCCGTGCAGGGGCGGGCTGGGGCTGGGGTCAGCCTTGCAGGGGCGGGCTGGGGTTGGGGTCGGCCGTGCAGGGGCGGGCTGGGGCTGGGGTCGGCCGTGCAGGGACGGGCTGGGGCTGAGGGCCGTCCGCGCAGAGGCGGGCTGGGGCGAGGCCGCACGCCGGGAGAGCAGTTGAGACGGAAGATGACGCCGGCTGCCGGGACTCGGGCTGTCCAGCCGCTGGGCATGCGGGGCCGACCTGACTTGCGCCAGGTCTGTACGGTCTCAGAATGCGTTGGCCTCCCGGTTCTGAGCGACGGCTGCCATGGCAGTGCGATACGTTCGGGTCCTGGTATGCACTGGGGTGCAGAGAGGCTATAATAGCTCAGCGGTCGCCTGACTTATTTGAGACTGGTAAAGCGGTCGGTCACTTTTGGTGTTGTGTATTGCGCCATTTTATTCTGAACTGAGACCTGTATTGTATTGGCAGGCACAGTTCTGAAAAACGCATGGGGGAAGAGGAGCGTGACCCACATCGATCGCTGTGATGTTTTTGGTGCGTGTTCGTTAGGCAGCGCTGACCATGGTACAAGTATGATCTTTGTGAGGTCTGCAACAAGTTAGCAGTTTTGGAGCATGTTAGCTGAATAACCAGACCTCTTTTCATTCAGGTGGAGGCCCAGTAGCCTATGCCTGTGACGTCATAATGGCACTTAAGCAAAATTTGCTCGCTTTATTGTTGGGGAATGCCATTCCTGGCCGAAGTTACGTTTTAGGAACTTTTACGGCGCTGGTTTGAAACTCAGTCACGTCACCGCGGCTTGGCAATCAGTTTTAACCACGATACTGGGCTGCAGTAATGTAATGTTTATTTTGCCGGATGTCGAGCTGACATATATATATATATATATATATATATATATATATATATATATATATATGTGTGTGTGTGTGTGTGTGTGTGTGTGTGTGTGTGTGTGTGCATATATATCACATTTTTACCTCCTATAACTGAATTGGAGACCGCGAGGTTAATTCTGCCTGAAGTTTATATAGTCAGCGAAGTGAAGAAGTCATGTCTTAAATGACCGCATGAAATAAATCGATGGCGCTCTTCATTTTACAATAGTCCAGCTAACTTTTTTCAAAGCGATATAGATCGTATACACTTCGTCATAATTTTTCCCTGAACTGTACGGTGATATCAAGAGCACAGCAAATGTACCTTGAAGATCAAAATGGCTCAAAATTTGTGATGACATGGTCGAGCCATGTTTGCCTGATGTGTTCAACATTGAGCCAGAAGCACGATTAGTGATGCAAGTTACGTAACGTAAGTTTGAGCAAGCGCGCTCGCATATCTTAGCAACAAAAACCTCGACACCAGGCGTTGCATTCTCCGGAAGCCACGCAGCGTCGGCCCCGCGGTCAACACTAGGGCGTAGTAGCCAGCAGGTGGTCGAAAACGATGATGCATTTGAATTTACCTTTGTACGTTCTATGTCACGACATTGGACATGTAGAGATATTCCGAGCGTACATTTCACCTATGCGACTTTTAGATCGATGGTAACAGATTGGCCTGTACAGCACCGCGAAGTTCCCTTCCACGTCCCTGTTCGGAAAATCTTCCCCTCGCCGATTCGATGCCCCATACCGACACGGGATATCCTGTTAGGCACCGTGGGCCCCTGAGCGATACAGGAGCCCCGGCCCACGTAAATCGCGCGCCCGGCATTGCCCCTTCTTGGGAAATGGGTCTCCAGGGCTCAGACCAGCAAGGCACCCATTGCTCGTGGTTCGTGATCTCTGGCCGAAATAGAAAAGCGCCCTGTCTCAGGGGTACCTATCGGGGCCAGAGATTCTCTTACTGACATTTGAGATCACGGCCCTATGGGCAGGGGTCCATAATGTGACCTACAGCCATCCCTTTCCCATTCCATCCTTCAGACCTTTCAGTCATCCAATCGGGTCCTTGATCTTTAGTCTCGACCTTCGCCCCGCCCCCCCCCCCTTCGGACCGCTTAAACACCGCTCTGAATCGGGGCCACTTGCCGCCACAGGACCCCTGTTCGGTACTTTGGCCCCTAACCGAGGCAGGAGCACCTCATTGTGTCAGGGACCCCGAACATTGAAAAGCGTGAGGCCCGGCCCCGTTTCTTTTAAGGAAATGGGTCTCAACGGCTCGACGGACATGAAGCCGCCTGTTCGGTGTTCGTGGTCTTTGACCGACTTTGACACCCGCAATGTCTCAGGGGTTCCTCAGACGGCACCAGGGGAGCTGTGGCTCATGTTTCGGGTCACGACCTTGCGGACCGCGATTCTTTGTGTGACTTATAGCCAGTCTTTCGGGCCCTGATGCCCTGTAACCGAGTCTATTGTAGTCGGTTCCAATGGGCCACCCGGCCTGCTCTTCGGGCCTCATCAAACACTGCCTTTGGTCGGCTCGGAGCCCCTTCCAAGCACAGGACCCTCTGTTAGGCGCTTGGGCTCCTGACAAATACAAGGGCCTTGACCAGCGCAGATCACTGGCCCCGGCATTACACCTGACTGGAAGGTGGATCCTCAGGCCCATATCGACGTGCAGCCGACTGTGCAGTACTGGTAGTACCTAACCGACATTTAGGCCCATATAGACCCAGGAGTTCCCGATCGGCGTAGAGGACCCTCTGACCGGTATTTGAGGGCCCGCCTTCGTAGGCTGGGGCCCTTAAAACTTATCCGACCAGCCCTTTGTGCCCTCAGACGCCTTAATCGGGTCATCGATCGTCGGGCCCGGTGGGCCCTCTAGGCTCTCTGGCCTTCCTCAATCACTGCCTCTGGCCGACTCGGGCCCCTTGCCAACACAAGGCCCCTGTAAGGCTCTGCGCGGCCGCGGGCAATGTAAATCGCTGGCTCCGGCTTAGACCCTGGTCGGGAAATGAGCCTTTGGGCCCATGCCACCACGGAGCCGACTGTGCGTTGCTGGTGGTGTCTGACCGAAATATAGAACCGTATCAACTCAGTGGGTCCCTGATCGGCGCGTAAGGCCCTCTGGCTGGCACTGGAGTGCCCGGCCCGCCGGGCCGGGCCCCTGAATGCGACATCTGGCCGGTCTTTCAGGCCCTTCAGGCCCCCAAAGCAGGCCCTTAATCGTAGGTTCCTAGGGGCCCAAATTACCCCTCAGAACCTACGGGGGGAGGGCTCGTGCCCCCTGTGCCATCCTGCCCGCGCTACTGGTCTGCATCATCTTGTGCAAGGTATAGAATGGCAAAACGTACAGAATGTCAATGCACAGAATGTCTGATGTACAGAATGTTCAAAGTCCATAACGTCCAATGTACAAAATGTCCAAAATTAGAAATAACTTCCAAAATGAGTGCAGATGTTCAAAACGTCCAAAGTACATAATGTCCAAAGTACACAATGTCCAAAGTACAAAGGTCCAATGCACAGAATGTCCAAGGCTCATAATGTACAAAATATGTTATGTCCAAGGTACGGAGCGTCTAAATCACACAATGTCCAAGGCACGCAATGTCCAAAGTACAAAATGTCCAATTTATTGTCTGGGGCGGCCGTCAGGTGCGAGTTCTTGCCCCTATTGACAGGCGAGAGCATACTGGTCTGCGTCGGCTGCGCATGTACAGTCAACACCATTACCGCCACTCGGCGCGCGGTCCGCCGCCTGCTGCAGGCCGGTGACGCAGGCGGTAGGCAGGATGACGTAGGAAAGTATTTATCCAATGAAAGAACAGCTGGTGACGGGCGGCACACCATGAGCTGCTGCCGGCGATCGGCACCGCGACGCTCCCGACGCCTGCAGAGCCGCTGATCCACACAGCGCCGCAGCCATAGCGTCAGGAGCAGATCCGCTCTCAGTGAGCGCCCGGGTGGTACCCAAGGCCCTGTTGTACCAAATGTCGTCCACTGTGCGTCACGTTCTCCTCCGCCCCTCCACCCATGACTACTCGGCTTGTGCTCCCTGGTTATTAGCGTCACGCGTAAAACTACAAGTGCACAGAAATCCCGTCACGCGGTACTGTTGTTCATTCCCAGGGTAATAGATACCGATCGTTTCCTTTTCGACTCTGCGTCCCTGCCATTCTGGGGAGAGGCCTGTAGCGTGGCTGCACCTGTGTGACAGCAGTCGTGGGATCGGCGGCTGAGAAGAGCACAGCGCCGCTCCACGCGCGCTGTGCAGGCATCCACCTTCGTCCGATTGTGCCGTATGTACGTGTAAGGCCAAAACGTTAATGCATGTGCAGTGAGGAATTCAGATTCCCAGCTCAACGAAGCCACAGTTAACAGCGGCTGGGTATCTGGTACCAACGCGGCGGCAGGAGGTGATGGAGTGTGAAAAGCGTACTTTGCAGCCCAGGCATTGTCAAGCTCTGCTGAAAACTGGAATGATGCAATATTACTGACATGTCTTAGCTAAGTTGACTGGTGTCTTTATCTCTGACATCAACACTCATATCATGTAGGTGAAATATTCCTCTTGCATTTGGAGCACATGCAACATTGCTGTCCTTGATGATGACAGCTTATGTACTGAATTGCTCTCAGCACAGGGAAGGTGTTCCAGCATCATC